GACGTAGCATGCAAATGGAATAGACATACTACGGATAGCAAATTTAAAGGTATCTTAGGATATAAGTTAACTTTCAATAATGACTGAGATAAATAAAGGGTGAACGAAAGAGGAAAATTATAAAATCAATTTTATGATGGCAATCTTGCTGTCACTAACTGAAATGGCCTATACGAGAATTTGAGGTTACATAGTTAGGATCAATATGGGGAATGTTGCACAGATGCATTGTTGTATCATTGTTCGCATTTATTTCAAAATCGACAAGTCATTTGCTGTCTTCAAACGAAGGATTCATACATTCCATTTATTAAGCAGAATAAGTCCTCTGCAAAAAAATAGAGATTAGGGAATCTGACGTGAAAATGTGATTCAGTAGATGCAACGACTCGTTCATCATCCAAAACCGTCAGAAATTCGTTTGATCCACAGTCGATATCAATATTCTTCTAGTTAGAAGCTTGGACGATACATGGACGTACAACGTGCTTATATTTGCTGTATCAAATACTATCTTTATAGCTTTTATCATCTTTTAAGTCTTGAGAATAACCTCTTGAAAAATATAGTTCAATGCTGGATATTCTCATAAGTAAAAGAGGGTAATCACCTCTTAAAACAGTGCGGCTTCAAGAGATTTCTCTTGCTGAATTCGTAATTTCCGTGAATATAGAATATATATAATATATCTAATCATAAAAGAATAGAAGCTGTGCAAAACTCAAGGATGAATCAAGATACCGGAAGCAGCCAAACTTACAATTTGCACAGCTATTCACTATTCTGAGAAAAAACCATAAAAAATTCATAGTGTAGAAAGCCAGGAAGAAAGTTACGAAAGAAGACACACTGTCGAAGTGGTCCGGATGAAAAGCAGCCTGGAGCGAAACAAGATCGCGTAAAATCTTTTAGGCTAAAGATGATGAAATTTGAGAGTGTTGGGATGGAGTCACCTCGCCGGCAAGCGCTATGCCCATAGAGTAACAGTATTGTTTTGCGAAGATTGAATTTCCTGAAAGAGGCGCTAATCGGATAGGATTTGCAGGGTGATTTTCTTTCTGAAGTAAAAAAAATTGAAAGTGATGTTCATGCTCTCCATTGAACTTTCTTAATTCAAAATACTTCTTCTAAGCAAC